CTTCCGCCTCCCCAATGGCGGCGGCGGCTGAGGGCCCCCAGCAGAGCGCGGAGGGCAGCGCGAGCGGCGGGAGCATGCAGGCAGCTGCGCCTCCTTCGTCGCAGCCGCACCCCCAGCAGCTCCAGGAGCAAGAAGAAATGCAGGAGGAGATGGAAAAGCTTCGAGAGGAGAACGAGACGTTGAAGGTGAGGAAGGTGAAGGGAATTGAGTGGGGGAGGGGAGGTGTGGGCCTTAGGCGGGGGGGTAGGGCGTGTCCGGCGGGTGAGAGAGACTAAAACTGTGGGCGGCCTTCGTGAGGGAGGGGTGCAGGAAACGAGGGAGGAGGGCTCCTAGGCTTTTCCCAGGTTTAAAACGGAACCTGCGATTAGTTGCATTAGGTTTTAATTTGAATTCGGATTTAGGCCTCCCTTCCTCACATTATCGTTTGCCCACGTTTTCATGGAAGGAGCTAGAGTGAAACAGCGAGAGAAGGCCTAAAGAGGGCCTGTTTTCCTCTCCTTCACTTAGCTCCTTGTCACGCCTATCTCAAGGAGAGAGGGCAATAAAGCTGATAATTTGAGCTGGGACTGGGTGTGCTCGGTGCTTGCGGGAGGGACTGGGGACGAGACTGATTTTGACCCGCGGCCTATTACCGCCTCAGAACGAGATCGATGAGCTGAGGACAGAGATGGACGAGATGAGGGACACTTTCTTCGAGGAGGATGCCTGTCAGCTGCAGGAAATGCGCCACGAGTTGGAGAGAGCCAACAAAAACTGCCGGATTCTGCAGTACCGCCTCCGCAAAGCAGAGCGCAAAAGGCTTCGCTACGCTCAGACTGGGGAAATAGACGGCGAGCTACTGCGCAGCCTGGAGCAGGACCTCAAGGTCTGAGTCGGAGGCGGTGGGGCTCCTAGGGCGCGCGGCAGGTCGGTGGGCGGGGACTCTGGTCAAGGCCTCTTAGCACTGAAAACCCTTCGGTGGGACACTGAGTTTCGCAATGCTGACTATGCATTGTCAGGCGGGACAGACAGGTGGGTCTCAAGAGTCGAGGGTGTGGAGGGCCTTAAGGAGAGCTAGTTCTGTGGCATCTTCGCCTGAGTAACTGTGGCTCTTCCAGAGCTGGTGGGAGAAGGGCGCCACCCTCTGGGGCAGAAAAAGAGGCGCGGCGAAAACACAAGCTCTGGCCTTGATCTTGCCTACCTGGTTTGGTTTCCAAGTGAAGGCCAAGTGGATTCAGGCACTGAGGAGCAACCAGCTGAGGACTCCTCAACGCGATGAGGCTCAGAATAGCAACAGAACAGATAGCAGAGTTAGGATTTCTGTCTGCAAGTGACACTCCCACCTTTTGCCAGGACTCCTTCCTTTCTGTACTTACTACTGGGAGAGTGAAGTAAATGAAAGAACCTCATTCTTAATGGGAAGGTCTTCCTTTAGAAGCTTTCACACTGGAGAACTCCCAACCTTGAAATGCGTTTTTTTTTAGACAAGTATAATCAGTTCAGTTTGACAGGAAGCAGATTCATTGGCAATGCAAACCAGATACTATCTTTGTGTCCTTAAACAACCAAATAAATACAATCTTAATTGTATTAACTTCATGAAAATGAACAAATCAAACATAATTATGCTACATTTATTTTAAAACAAGCTGTGAGAAAACATTTATGAAAATCGTTGTATAATTTTTTTTTCCCTAACAGTTATTTGATGAGAGCTCACTATATACCAGGCATAATGACAAGCATTGGTGTGAACATAATTATCTCATTTGTTGTTGTTGTTATGTGCCGTCGAGTCAGCCCCGACTCATAGCGACCCCTCCTTGGGTTTCCGAGGCAGTATCACTACGGAAGTAGGATTGCCCAACCTTCCTTCCGAGGAGTGGCTGGTTTAGTACCCCCCAAAAAAATAAACTTGTCAAGTAGAAATTATTATTGGCATCATTTTTTCAGACGCAGAAGCTGACCCTTTTACAGAGGTTACATGCTCAGCCAGGAGCTCTGGTGGTGTAGTGCCTAAGGCATTTGACTGCTAACCAGAAGGCTGGTGGTTCAAACCCACCAGCCACTCCTCAGAAGGAAGACTGGGCAATCTACTTCCGTAGAGATACTACCATGGAAACCCAAGGAGGGGTTGCTATGAGTTGGACTGACTGAACCACAGTAGGTTTTTAGAGTTTTACTTGCTCAGCCCTCCAAGAGGATAGTATGTGGCCTGGCTGGCTCCCTACTCAGTTTCACAAGTGTCCTGAGCCTTAGCACCAGACAGGTCCACTTCTCTTCTAAACTGTGAAGTTTTCAAAGATAAGCACAAAACATGGGACAGAAATGTATGCCATCAATAATAATAAGAAGAAAAATGAACCCCCAGGTCTAAAATATTTCCTAAAATTAAGCCCCTGGAGTTGTATTTATAGGATCAAAATTCAAACCCCACTGCCCACTTGCAGTGGAAGACTTCTATTTTACATTCTTCAGAATAGGTAATAATAGAAATATCTATCCCGTAGGGTTGTTTTTGAATTAAAGGGGTTTGTGAAATTTCTATACACATGTTAAAATGCAGTAGGGCATTTATGACCAAGGTGTAGTGTAATAATGAAGTATCCATCCCATGGGGTTGTTTTAAAATGGTAAAATAGGACATTTATGATTATAGTATGGTGTAGAGGTTAAGGGAATAGCATCTAGAGCCACACCTTAGCTGTGTGACCTTGAGCAAGTTACTTCCTATCTCTTGAGACTTAGTTTCCATAGCTATAAAATAAGAATAATACCTATCTCATTAGATTGTTGTGAGAGTTTAAAGGTGTATGTATTAAAGGTTTATATATAAAGCATCTAGAACACTAGTTGGCACATGGTAAGCACTATATGAGTATTGGTTCTTAATGCTTTCAATATCAACTCACTTATCATATTAGCCCACTTATTATATTGTCATTGACTAATTATTTTAGGTTGCAAAGGATGTGTCTGTGAGACTACACCATGAATTGGAAAATGTAGAAGAAAAGAGAACAACAACTGAAGATGAAAATGAGAAACTGAGGCAACAGCTTATAGAAGTTGAGATTGCAAAGCAAGCTTTACAAAATGAACTGGAAAAAATGAAAGAGGTTAGTATTCAGTTATCTCATGGCATGCTATATTTTCAGAATCCCAAGGGTTAATATAACTGTTGAAATAATTCTTTTTTTTTCCAGGGCAGTTCATTGTCCTCACCTAATGTAATAGCAAAGACAGGGTTTCATACTAAAACTGAGTAGCAAAGAAGATAAGCAGAGCCAGTTGATCTGGGTTTGTCTGAGATTTGCCTCCCTCTGAGCTGTGTGTATGGGGAATGACAGATTTTCATCTCTGTGTCATTTATGTTAATTAAATAAATTATAAAGTCATACCAAACACAAAGGGTGTGGAGAGTATGAATGATAAGCCTTGTGTTAGTTTAGGAGAAGAGCTAGTCCTGTCACATTGTTAATGAGTTCATAGAACCACAAACTCTTAGCTTTGTAAAGGCTATTAATCTAATTCAATCATTCCTTGAACCCTGTATTAACAAAGCCCCTCAAATGGTCTAATACTTAAAACATCACCAGTGACTAACCCTCATGATAGTAGCTCAGATTATTGCAGACCACATAGCTCTGTTTTAAAGGATTTCTTTGTTTTGAGTTGAAATCTATTTAACTGTAACTTTAACCAGTTCATCTGAGTTGCACCCTTTAGAATGGAGTTCTTTTTCACATCAAGTATTTAAAGGTTTCTACTTGATGAGGGAGCTCTGGTAGCATAGTGACTCTGGTAACATAGTGAGCACTTGACTGCTCACCAGATGGCTGGCGGTTCAAACCCATCAGCCACTCCTCGGAAGGAAGGTTGTGCAATCCTACTTCCGTAGTGATACTGCCTCGGAAACCCAAGGAGGGGTCACTATGAGTCAGGGCCGACTCGACGGCACATAACAACCATTAAAGAATAGAATCAGACTCAAGGGAAATAACAGGGGGTTAAAAGAAATAAAAGATCTATCAAGATAATTAGCATTATGATAAATATCAGTTTAATTTGAATTAAAATAACATTTTTCTTATTTGCTCATGCTAGACAAGAAATTCATATTCTTCCCGGAGTTACAAAAGCCAAACCCCAGTCCCTAATGAAAGAATACAGCAATGAAAGTGTAAGGAATTTAGGAGCACAAATGCAGAGATAGCAATTTTCAGAGTAGCTTTTTGTTAAGAAAATGGGGTCTAAAATAGTGTTGATGTGTTAAAATGGAGAATACGAGAGGGAAAGTATCTGAGAAATTCTAAACGTCATAAAGGAGAAATGAAAAATATTCTGGAGGACAGATCCATCCATTTAAGGTTGACCTTCATGGTGTTCAGAAAAGTGTCAGAAATAGAAAAAGGAGTTTAAAAATATATTTAGAATTCAGGAATGTGTCATTCAAATAAGATTTTTGCCTAGTAATTTATGTCATCTTTTGTGAAGATAAATACTAAAACTGAGCTGCAGCAATAACTGGGTGGCTTTGAGGTCAGAGAGCTTGATGCTGGAGTTGTCCTTATACGACTTAAAAAAGCTTCAGTTAACCGTCTGCTTCCTTGGTTGCAAAATGAAAGCATATTCAAGTCCTTTACGACTGTTAACCACATGGACCATCATCCCTTCATCCCTTTGTCACATTCCACCAGTGGAGAGAATAGAACCAGCTATGTTCTCTATCATGAAGAAATGACACTGGTTATGGAATAAAAATCATAAAATGATAAATAGACTATAGTAGAGAGAAACAGTACTCCAATTGCCAGAATTTAGTCCTTCATATGGAGTCATATAGATGTTGAACAGCACCACTGGGATCGATAGGCCATCTACTAGGGTTTGGAAATTGTTTACTAAAGGTTTAGCTGGCTTCAAGAGAATCGACCAGTTGTTCTCAAGGCTAGTGGCTACCAAGGTTCTATATACCTTCTCACAGCCATCTGCTTATCTTCTCTTGAGACCGTGGAGTAGGCACCTGGGAGTGAGAAGAGTTGAGCAGAGACAGGATGAGGGTAATTAGTTGAGTCTATTGCAACTGTGTATTGACACAGCTGATATTCTGCCAACTGCAAACAAGAGGGACCTCTTAGGATGCTGTCTTGGAATCTTAGTGGTATTTTATTCCAGATTATAAAACATTGATTGCTAGTAGCTTTGCTTTTCTTATTGTAGAAAAATGCCTTTAGCTTTATGTAACCTAGGAAAAATGATGATGTCTTTTGATATCACAAACAGAGAGAAATAGGTGATTGTAAAAGTTATTATTTTGTGGAAATAACAAGTAGCTCTTTGAGTGCAGGACACATTAATGTACCAATAGGTTACAGTAGAGGTAAAGAGGGGGTTCTATAGAACTCGTTCTCTGTGGGGGGGAACTTTTTGTCACAGCTAAACTGAGGGTCCCTTCCTTTCATGCAGTTCCACTGCTGATTTTCAAAGCTCTGAAACCCCCTGTGTGCTTCAGAATAAAAAAGTCTTTTCATAAAACCTTTAAGATACGGTGTTTGGAGAAGGACTAATGACATACATTTGAGCAAATAAATCACCAGCAGAAAACCTTTGAAGATGGGAAAGGAAGAAATAGTAACTAATACATGATGACAAGGAGAACTGTTGATTAGATGTTTTTCGTTTTAAATCTGAACTCTTCGTGTTCCTTCATCCCTCACCCTCACACAAGAGTCTTAAAAGAAAATGATTTTCTTAACTTTTCCCAGTTTTTGCTCTAGAGGACTCTTAAATGGCCTATTGCAATAGCATTATCTGTATTGGGACTTTTGCTTTCTGCACAGTTGGTTAATATCTCCTATCTATTACAATGCTCTTACATCCTAGAAAACAAAAATAATTAGTACTATAAATTTCAACAGTGGTCTCTGTTATTTTAAGACTGCACTGAGAGTATATCTATAAACCAGATTCTTTTTACAGATCGAATGTTTTATAGATAAATGTTTGCCCAATATTTTTATAATTACCTATCTGCTTTCTTATATAAAATAAATAATTCATCATAACTACACTTTGCTTTGACAGAGCAAATTTATCTAAGATATAAAGAGTAAGAAAAATATGTTAAGTGATAAATCAACGAGGAAGCAGCCCAAGAGGTAGTTTTAATGGGGATTTCGTTGTCATTATTAATATTCTTCTTGGTTCTGATAATTTATTCATCATTTGAAAATGAGACAAAGCTCATTGGTACTTTAAAAAGAAATTGTTATAATAAACATCAATTAAACACTATTACTTTAGTAATATCTTCTCACAGCTAATAGTTTGTTGAATACATGCATAGGAACAATAGAGATATTAATAACAAGGAAGAGGGTGCCACGTAAGCTTAAGAAAGTTATCTTCCTATAATTTACTTTGTGTTATGTGTGGATTCTTAAAGATGTATTTACTTAAGAATTGTAAACTTTATTTATCTATTTATTTTCCATGAAATTACATATGCAGTTGCTTGTACTCTGAAGTAATTCTTCACACACAGTCTTGGGTCAGTGGCTTTTTACTTTTACTCAAATGGCATCCCCTCAACAGAGACTTAATAATAGTACACAGATAAGCAGATCCCTGTTGTTGGATTATTTTGTGAAAGGCATTATAATTTTTATTATAAACTACAAATTTCTGGTCATTAACAACAACAAAAATACACATTAGCATTGAACATTCCACATCCGATGCCACATAGTTGATCATATCCTAGTTCCTTTATTGGCTGCATTTTGAACTATATTTATATTTTTGAAGTTTTAAGGATTTCAAAGCACTGTACGGATGGGGGTTTTACCTGATTAAACATTTGCAACTGAATACTTTTCTACTTCTCATTTAAAATACCTATCAATAATCACATGTTGACATGTTCATTGCATTTCCTGATAAAAACATGACCAATTGGGTTAAGTTTCCCAAAACTGGACTCTGCTTAGAGGTTGTTTAACATGGTCTTGAATCTAAATATTACCTACATAGTTATTGAAGGGTTGTTCACTTCTCTGGCTTCTGTGTCTTAACAACCTTAAAAAGGGATTTGAAATGATTCACAATAAAATCATAAAACCACTGAAATAAAGGTTAAACAATATTTAGGTCAAATCTGATAAAATAAGAAAAAGACAGGCTTATATGTGTTGTATTTTGACAATAGCTTCACAACGTTGTACTGTACCAAATACCAAGTGTATGTTTGACTCAGAAAGTCCTCACAACATCAACCAGGCTATAAAGCTCTATGAGGACAGGGCCCATACCTGTTTAGATCACTGTGGACCCCCAACACCCACTTCAGTGTCTGGCATGTAGTCAGAATATATTCTCCTGCAGTATTTTAACAACTATTATTTCATACTTAATAATTTTTATGACTTTTTTCCTCACTACATAGTAAAATCCCTGAAGGTAAGGATCAAATCTGTCTGTATTCATCATTGTGTATGTAGCACCCAGAAGGGAACCTGGCATAAAACTGATACACAATAACTAGTTTTGAATAGAGTGAGTGAGTGAATGGAAAGTAGATGAGGTATATCAGACTCTATTTTATAGAGGGAAATATAGCAAAATTTGACTCAGAATCAGGACTCTTTCTGGTAGTGCTTATTGTAGTGCAATAAAATGAGAAGAGAGCACATGGGTAAATCTAGGCTCACTCACTTCCAGAATAAATGGTGTCCTGAGATTTCCCATTGCCTAGAAACTTCCAGGAGCTCTGGTGACATAGTGCCTAAGGCATTTGACTGCTAACCAGAAGGGTGGTGGTTCCAATTCTCCACTTTACTGCTTTCATACCCCACTTATCCCCTAGAAGAAACAAGGTTTTTCTAAAACCAAGTCACATAGTCTTCTTGGGAAGGAGGTTGAGGCCAGCAACTCAAGGAAAAGAGGACAACTATGACACTTTGAACATAAGCTTTACAATTTAATTTCTGATTAATTTGGCGTGGAAATAGGAGAAGCAGACTTACGGAATGAGAGAAGACCACACATCTTGTCACTTCTAAAGGCTATCCAATTTTATTTGCATTACATCTTCAATGTTTGGGGCAGTCAATTCAGT